CAGGCAGCCGGGGGTGGGGGTGGGCAGGCAGGGAGGGCAGGGTGGGAGAGGGCTGTACTCACGGCCAGACAGTTGTAGGTGAGAAAATCCGTCACCCTGTGGCCTCCTTTCACCTCGTCAGGCTTCATCTCTGCCCCCTGGAAGAGCCCTGGGAGCCGGGGAGCAGCCGCCACCGTTTGGGGACCCACATAGAGGTTCTGTTTCTCCAGCCCCGTGAGCTGGCGCAGACGATATGGCACCTACAAGGGGACGTAGGTTGGGACATGGGGGTTGCGGGGCCGTGCCAGCTCCTCTCCTCCTTTCCCAGCTCCTCTCCTCCTTTCCCAGCTCCTCTCCTCCTCCTTTCCCAGCCTCCAACCCCGCACAAGGCACCAGAGACAGATTAAAGCCCCGCCGAGGTGTCACCTCCATCTGCAGGAAGTCCAGTAGCCCCCGGCTGAGCAGGGACACGTCACGGGGGCTGGGATGGTGGCCCAGTTCCTCTCCTCGACCTTCCAGCAGCTGATGAAGGAGTTTTTCCCAGGAGGAACGGAGCTGCAGGGCCGTGGAGAGCAGGCGCAGGGCAGAGTCCGCGTCGGGGATGGTGACCTCCAGCCACCCATCGGCCACCAGCCGGGCGCAGTCCCCACTGGTGTCCAGCGAGCGGGAGAAGAGGAGGAGAGCCTGGAGGAGCCAAAACACAACCACCGTGGGGTGACGAAGGCTCTTTCTTGGAGAGGAAGAGGAGGGGAGCAAAGAGCTCACCTGGAGGGCCGGCACCCGGACACAGTTCACCAGGTAGGGCTTGTTGGTCTCCAGCAGCGAGACAAAGGCCAGGAGCTGGTGGTGGCAGCTCAGCCCCTCTGTGGGCTCTACAGGGGCAAAAGGGGGTGTCTCAGCTGGACCCCAAACCTCTCCCCCAGCCCCGGCGGCGCTTTCACCCGGCAGGTGAAAAGCCAGGGAGAAGCTGAGCCAAATCCTGCAGGATCGGGGTTATCCCAACCTCCAGTCCCACCACGGTCCCGTCTCTCCTTGGCATGGAGCAGCTCTGGGCTGGTGGCGAAGACACAGGTGGGATGAAGGACGACCCCTTGCTTGTTTTTGGTGTGAAAAATCTGCGGCCAGAGCAAAACAGAGCGTTTGAGGGAAAGCGAGGGGCTGGTGGGACCCCCCACCCCGGGGTGCGGGATGGGGAGGACTCAGACCTGGTCGGAGTCTTTGCGGCCACTGTTGAACTGGTCAGGGACGGCCAGTTGGGGGTAAAGCCCCCGGCACAGCACCAGTTTGAGCAGGGCGAGCTGCGAGGAGGAGAGGGCCGAGCTGGAGACGGCCTGGAGCTCCTCCACGTTGTGGCGGAGCTTGAACTTGACATCCTGCAGGGACGAGACGTGGCGTCAGGGCTCCCCAATGGCCAAATCCTGCCCCTCCAGGGAGAGGAAAGGGATGCGAGGGGTCACCTGGATATCGATGCTGCGCTCCCCTTTGCCACGGGTACCACCATCATCCTCCTCCTCGCCGGAGGAGGCATCGGCTCCGTCCTGCAGCCGCAGCACCTTGCGCTTCCGGCCTTCGGTCTCGGTGTGGGATCGCCAGAGCCGGTGCAGTTCCCGGCGTTCCCGGTGCCGGCTCTGCCGGCTGTAGCTGTCGCTGGGGCGACCAGAATCTTCCTCCAGTAGCTGGTGGTCTCGAAGAAGCTCCTGGGGGAGTGGAACAGGGTTGTTGAACCCAGTGTGGGGAGAGATGGGCAGGTCGTGGGCGCGTGGACAATTTTCAGCTCTTCTCCCCACCAGCAAACCCCACCAAAGCCAGATCCTGTGGCACCAGGACACGCTGGAGGGAAGGGATGTGTCATCCAGAGGGACCTGGAGAGGTGGGACCATGCCAACCTCATGAAGTTCAACCAGGATGGGGTCTTGGGTCAGCATGGCCATCCCCAACCAGGCCAAGTGCAAGGTCAGAGCAATCCCAGGCACAAATCCAGGTTGGGGGGAGAATGGCTGGAGAACAGCCCTGAGGAGAAGGACTTGGGGCTGTTGGTGGGTGAGAAGCTCCACACAAGGTGGCAACATGGGCTGGCAGCCCAGAAAGCCCTCTGCACCCTGAGCTGTGTCCCCAGCAGCGTGGCCACCAGGGCGAGGGGGGTGGGATTCTGCCCCTCTGCTCTACTCTGGGGAAACCCCACCTGGAGCATCGTGTCCAGCTCTGGGGCCACCAACATCAGAAGGACATGGAGCTGTTGGAATGGGGCCAGAGGAGGTCATGGAGATGCTGGGAAGGCCAGAGCCCCTCTGCTGGGAGGGGGGGCTGAGAGAGTTGGGGGGGTTCAGCCTGGAGAAGAGAAGGCTCCGGGGAGACCTTGGAGCCTCTTCCAGTCCCTCAAGGGGCTCCAGGAAAGCTGGGGAGGGACTCTGGATCAGGGAGGGGAGCCATAGGAGGAGGGGGAAGGGTTTGACATGGAAAGAGGGGAGATTGAGCTGAGATGTGGGGAAGAACTTTGGTGTGAGGGTGTTGAGAGCCTGGCCCAGGTTGCCCAGAGAAGCTGTGGCTCTTCTCCCCACCAGGAAACCCCACCAAAGCCAGATCCTGCGTCCCCCCCTCCCCTCACCTGGAACTGGCGCCGAAGGTTGGCAGCTTCATAGAGACGATGCTCCTCCAAACCTCGCCTCCGGCACCACTTCCGAGAGCTGCCGCTCCGCTCCGATTTCACCTGCTCCCAAGAAAAAAAAACCAAAAAACAAACAACAGGGCTTGACCCTGGAGAGTTGGGCAGAGAGGAACCTGATGAAGTTCAACACGGGCAAGTGTAGGGTCCTGCACCTGGGGAGGAATCACCCCACAAACCAGTACACGTTGGGGCTGACCTGCTGGAGAAAGACCTGGGAGTCTTGGTAGACACCAAGATGCCCATGAGCCAATGCCCTTGTGGGGTCTTGTGGCCAAGAAGGCCAATGACATCCTGGGGGGCATCAGGAAGAGGGCGGCCAGCAGGTCCAGGGAGGTCATCCTCCCCCTCTGGTCTGCCCTGGGGAGGCTCCAGCTGGAGCACTGGGTCCAGTTCTGGGCTCCCCGGTTCAAAAAGGACAGGGAACTGCTGGAGAGGGTCCAGCAAAGGGCTATGAAGATGTTGAGGGGACTAGAATATCTGTCTGCTGAAGAAAGGTTGAGGGACTTGGGTCTGAAGAAGAGAGTGTTGAGGGGGGGAATCTCATCAATGGTGGGTGTCAGGAAGATGGGGTCAGTCTTTTCTCAGTGGTGCCCAGTGACAGGACAAGAGGTGATGGGCACAAACTTGAACATAAGAAGTTCCACCTAAACATGAGGAGGAACTTCTTTCCTGTGAGGGTGGCAGAGCCCTGGAAGAGGCTGCCCAGAGAGATGGTGGAGTCTCCTTCTCTGGAGACATTCCAAACCCTCCTGGATGTGATCCTCTCTAGCCTGCTCCAGGTGACCCTGCTCTGGCAGGGGGTTGGACTGGGTGGTCTCCAGAGAACCCTCCAACCCCTACCATTCTGTGACGCCCCAGAAGGGACCGCTTGTCTCTCTTACTGCTCCCCACACCCCAAAACCAGCCCCTGCAGCCCCCCGCGGGGACTCACGCACCCCTCACCCCAAAACAGAGACCCCCCAAACGTGTCTCTCATCCACCTCTTAGAGAGGAATCCCACCTGGACCCACTCGTTGAAGAGGTTGAGCAGAGTCAGGGGGTCACCGTGGGGGCTCTCCAGGGGCCGCCGGGCCGTGGCGCACTCGGGGTTGGGGTGAGAGGGTCTCAGGAAGGGGGATGGGACGCTCAGCGCCGCTGCCACCGTCAGGGTGGGCTCAGCCAGGCCAAAGAGGGTGCCCAGGACCAGCATCTTGCCTGCAGGAGGGGAGGGCAGGGCAGGCAGTGATGGCAAAGGAGGAGGGGGGGACACCCCCAAATCCTCCTGCCATCAAAGGGGGGGTGGCCCAAATTACTCACCGACCACCACATCTACCGGCAGCTGGGCCAGCAGGTTCCCGATGGGCGTCAGGTCTTCGGCCTCATCCAGGGCTCCTTGGTCCTGCAGGTACCTCAGGGCTGTCTCCAGGCTGGACAAGGGTGGGGGCTCCAGAAAAGGGAAGGTCCGGGGGTCGCCCAGCCCCATACTCTTTAACTGAGAGGAAAAAAAAAAAAAAAAAAAGAATCAGACATGGAACCCACCCCAACAACAAGAGGAAGAGCCCAGAGGTCTCTGAAGACCCATCCCACCCCGACACTTGAGCAGCAGCCTGGTCTCTCACTTGGCTGGCTGAGATCGGACTGAGGAGTGTTGATCTGCTTGAAGGTCAGAAGGCTCTACAGAGGGACCTGGACAGGCTGGATCGATGGGCCAAGGCCAACGGGATGAGGTTCACCAAGGCCAAGTGCCGGGTCCTCCATTTCAGTCACAACAACCCCAGGCAACGCTACAGGCTCAGGGAAGAGTGGCTGGAGCTGCCCAGCAGAAAAGGCCCTGGGGGTGTTGGTGGACAACTGGCTGAACATGAGCCAGCAGTGTGCCCAGGTGGCCAAGGAGGCCAACAGCATCCTGGCCTGTATCAGGACCAGCGTGGCCAGCAGGAGCAGGGCAGTGATGGTGCCTCTGGACTGGGCACTGGTGAGGCCTCACCTCAAGTGGTGTGTTCAGTTTTGGGCCCCTCACTACGGGAAGGACACTGAGGTGCTGGAGCTGGTGAGGGGTCTGGAGAACAAGTCCTACGAGGAGAGGCTGAGGGAACTGGGCATGTTTAGTTTGGAGAAGAGGAGGCTGAGGGGAGACCTCATTGCCCTCTACAACTCCCCGAAAGGAGGGTGGAGAGAGGTGGGGGTTGGCCTCCTCTCCCAAGGGAATAATGAGAGGAGCAGAGGAAATGGTTTGAAGTTGGGGCAGGGGAGGTTTAGATGAGATATTGGGAAGAATGACTTCACTGACGGGGTGGTCAGGCACTGGAACAGCCTGCCCAGGGAGGTGGTGGGGAGGGATTTAAGAAACGTGTAGACGTGGCACTTCAGGACATGCTCTAGTGCCCAAGATTGTTGGTTTGTGTCTGTCTGTGGGTGGGTGTTGGGGGGTGTGTGTGTTGGTTTGTTGGGTTTTGGGTGGGTGTGGGGGTTGTGTGTGTTGGTTTGTTGGGTTTTGGGTTTGTTGGGTTTTTTTGTGGTTGGACTCGATGATCTCAAAGGTCACTTCCAACCATGAATATTTTGTGATCCTCCCCAGAATCTTCCCCCCAACCCCAAGGCGAGCAGAAGGATCTCCCCGATTTTACCTGGAGCACCAGCGAATCGAGCGCTACCCGCTGGATCTCCGGCACGGGGTAAGGGGCGAAGGCGTCGTAGTCGGATTCGGCGTAGAGGCGGTAGCAGACGCCGGGGCCGGTCCTGCCGGCGCGTCCCTTGCGCTGCTCGGCGCTGGCGCGGCTGATCCAGAACTCCTGCAGCCGCTGGAGTTTGCCCTGAGGGTCGTAACTCATCTCCTTCACCTTCCCTGGAGGCAGCAGGATGGGGGGGAAGGAGAAGCTCAGGGCAGGGCAGGAAGGGAGGGAGAAGTTCTCCCACCCGGTGGTGGTAGGAATCGGGTTCCTTACCCGAATCCAGGACAAAGCGGACGCCGTCGATGGTCACCGAGGTCTCGGCGATGTTGGTGGAGAGGATGCACTTACGGACGCCGGGAGGGGGGACGTCAAACACCTGAAGGAGGAAAAACGATGGGGTCTTGGGTCAGCATGGCCATCCCCGAGGTCCACACAGGCTGCACCCACTGGTTGCACCCTGGAAGCACCCAAAACTGGGGTGCTGAGCTCTAGGAATTCTCTGTTGGGTGCCACCCAACTGGGACCCCTCAGGTGCCAGCCCACCTTGTCCTGCTCGGCCACCGAGAGGGTGCTGTGCAGGGGGAGGACAATCCAGCGCTGGGTGTGGGTGGCATAAGCCTGGGCCGCCTCCTGCACCGCCCCGATCTCGGCCACCCCGCTGAGGAACACCAGTAGGTCCCCCCGCTCCTCCGGGGGGTACTTGTGGTCGATGGCCTGAAGCACCCGCAGGTAGGGCAGAGGGTCCAGGCGCTCCGCTTTCCCCCATTTCCCACCCGCCGGGGCCTCTTCCTTAGGGATGGGCTGGTAGATGACCTGCAGAAGAAGACACAGCAGTGTTGAGTCCATCGAGGGCACCCTCAGTGAGTTGGGCGATGACGCCAGATCAGTGGTGCCCCGTGACGAGAGGCAACGGGCACAAACTTGACCATAAGAAGTTCCACCTAAACATGAGGAGGAACTTCTTCACTTTGAGGGTGGCAGAGCCCTGGAAGAGGCTGCCCACACTTTGGTGTGGCACCAGGACACGCTGGAGGGAAGGGATGTGTCATCCAGAGGGACCTGGAGAGACTGGAGAGGTGGGACCATGCCAACCTCATGAAGTTCAACCAGGCCAAGTGCAAGGTCAGAGCAATCCCAGGCACAAACCCAGGTTGGGTGGAGAATGGCTGGAGAACAGCCCTGAGGAAAAGGACTTGGGGGTGTTGGTGGGTGAGAAGCTCCACACAAGGTGGCAACATGGGCTGGCAGCCCAGAAAGCCCCCTACACCCTGGGCTGTGTCCCCAGCCCAGTGGCTGGAGCTGCCCAGCAGAAAAGGCCCTGGGGGTGTTGGTGGACAACTGGCTGAACATGAGCCAGCAGTGTGCCCAGGTGGCCAAGGAGGCCAACAGCATCCTGGCCTGTATCAGGACCAGCGTGGCCAGCAGGAGCAGGGCAGTGATGGTGCCTCTGGACTGGGCACTGGTGAGGCCTCACCTCAAGTGGTGTGTTCAGTTTTGGGCCCCTCACTACGGGAAGGACACTGAGGTGCTGGAGCTGGTGAGGGGTCTGGAGAACAAGTCCTACGAGGAGAGGCTGAGGGAACTGGGCATGTTTAGTTTGGAGAAGAGGAGGCTGAAGGGAGACCTCATTGCCCTCTACAACTCCCTGAAAGGAGGGTGGAGAGAGGTGGGGGTTGGCCTCCTCTCCCAAGGGAATAATGAGAGGAGCAGAGGAAATGGTCTGAAGTTGGGGCAGGGGAGGTTTAGATGAGATATTGGGAAGAATGACTTCACTGACGGGGTGGTCAGGCACTGGAACAGCCTGCCCAGGGAGGTGGTGGGGAGGGATTTAAGAAACGTGTAGACGTGGCACTTCAGGACATGCTCTAGTGCCCAAGATTGTTGGTTTGTGTCTGTCTGTGGGTGGGTGTTGGGGGGTGTGTGTGTTGGTTTGTTGGGTTTTGGTTTTTTGGTTGGTTTGTTTGGGTTTTTTTGTGGTTGGACTCAATGATCTCAAAGGTCACTTCCAACCATGAATATTTTGTGATCCTCCCCAGAATCTTCCCCCCAACCCCAAGGCGAGCAGAAGGATCTCCCCGATTTTACCTGGAGCACCAGCGAATCGAGCGCTACCCGCTGGATCTCCGGCACGGGGTAAGGGGCGAAGGCGTCGTAGTCGGATTCGGCGTAGAGGCGGTAGCAGACGCCGGGGCCGGTCCTGCCGGCGCGTCCCTTGCGCTGCTCGGCGCTGGCGCGGCTGATCCAGAACTCCTGCAGCCGCTGGAGTTTGCCCTGAGGGTCGTAACTCATCTCCTTCACCTTCCCTGGAGGCAGCAGGATGGGGGGGAAGGAGAAGCTCAGGGCAGGGCAGGAAGGGAGGGAGAAGTTCTCCCACCCGGTGGTGGTAGGAATCGGGTTCCTTACCCGAATCCAGGACAAAGCGGACGCCGTCGATGGTCACCGAGGTCTCGGCGATGTTGGTGGAGAGGATGCACTTACGGACGCCGGGAGGGGGGACGTCAAACACCTGAAGGAGGAAAAACGATGGGGTCTTGGGTCAGCATGGCCATCCCCGAGGTCCACACAGGCTGCACCCACTGGTTGCACCCTGGAAGCACCCAAAACTGGGGTGCTGAGCTCTAGGAATTCTCTGTTGGGTGCCACCCAACTGGGACCCCTCAGGTGCCAGCCCACCTTGTCCTGCTCGGCCACCGAGAGGGTGCTGTGCAGGGGGAGGACAATCCAGCGCTGGGTGTGGGTGGCATAAGCCTGGGCCGCCTCCTGCACCGCCCCGATCTCGGCCACCCCGCTGAGGAACACCAGTAGGTCCCCCCGCTCCTCCGGGGGGTACTTGTGGTCGATGGCCTGAAGCACCCGCAGGTAGGGCAGAGGGTCCAGGCGCTCCGCTTTCCCCCATTTCCCACCCGCCGGGGCCTCTTCCTTAGGGATGGGCTGGTAGATGACCTGCAGAAGAAGACACAGCAGTGTTGAGTCCATCGAGGGCACCCTCAGTGAGCTGGGCGATGACACCAGATCAATGGTGCCCCGTGACGAGAGGCAACGGGCACAAACTTGACCATAAGAAGTTCCACCTAAACATGAGGAGGAACTTTTTCACTTTGAGGGTGGCAGAGCCCTGGAAGAGGCTGCCCACACTTTGGTGTGGCACCAGGACATGCTGGAGGGAAGGGATGTGTCATCCAGAGGGACCTGGAGAGGCTGGAGAGGTGGGACCATGCCAACCTCATGAAGTTCAACCAGGCCAAGTGCAAGGTCAGAGCAATCCCAGGCACAAACCCAGGTTGGGGGGAGAATGGCTGGAGAACAGCCCTGAGGAGAAGGACTTGGGGGTGTTGGTGGGTGAGAAGCTCCACACAAGGTGGCAACATGGGCTGGCAGCCCAGAAAGCCCTCTGCACCCTGAGCTGTGTCCCCAGCAGCGTGGCCACCAGGGCGAGGGGGGTGGGATTCTGCCCCTCTGCTCTACTCTGGGGAAACCCCACCTGGAGCATCGTGTCCAGCTCTGGGGCCACCAACATCAGAAGGACATGGAGCTGTTGGAATGGGGCCAGAGGAGGTCATGGAGATGCTGGGAAGGCCAGAGCCCCTCTGCTGGGAGGGGGGGCTGAGAGAGTTGGGGGAGTTCAGCCTGGAGAAGAGAAGGCTCCGGGGAGACCTTGGAGCCTCTTCCAGTCCCTCAAGGGGCTCCAGGAAAGCTGGGGAGGGACTCTGGATCAGGGATGGGAGGCCTAGGAGGAGGGGGAAGGGTTTGACATGGAAAGAGGGGAGATGGAGCTGAGATGTGGGGAAGAACTTCTTTGCTGTGAGGGTGTTGAGAGCCT